ACTTGGAGAGTTGAGTTTCTAAAGGAAATTAACTGAAACTGAGATATCCCCCCCCAAAAAAGGCATGGCACGTGGAATTAAAACAATCTACTCCCGTGGACTAAGTAAAGGGATGGTTCGAAAGACTAATGTATATCACCTGAAGAAGGTTTGAACTTGCAGCGAAAGAAACGTTGTGAATATGGCAACAAAGATGAGGGCAAGAGTCCGAACGATGTAAATAGTGTAAATAGTTCATCTCAAAAATATAGACAGTTATCAATAAAATGAAATCAAATTTATGAACAAACATACTAAATACATTTCAATAAAAAACAAAATAACGGCACAGGCAGTGAAGGGAAGACGCGGAAACGCGATAAATGAAAATGAAGAAACCGAGATAACACAAGAAAGTCTGAACTGATGGTTGACAGAATAAACAATCAACAAAGACACTTCTAAGATTTTCTTCACATTACTCAAAAGATTTTTACAAGGAGATAAAATCACCAAGACGAAAGTGATTACTGCGAATGAAAGAATCTGAAAAGGAAAGAATATAAGAATGAAACAATCTGAGAATAACGTTATTCAGTAGAGGAGGGCAATAAAAGAACAATATTCAAGGAGACGGGAGATAACGATTGCAACTGAATTTAATTTTTTTTTAATTCGTAGTTGACAGAAAAGCAATATGCCGGAGGGAAGTTCCACATGTGAGAATTGCGAGAGAAGAAACTGTTAGCATAGGACTTACGGTTGCATGTAGCCATTTCAATTGCAAAATGATGAAACCTAATTGTCAATTTAGTACTGCGCTTAAATTCGTTTAGTCGAGGTATCAAAAAGGAAAGCTCATCAGAAAAATGACTATTCACTGGAAAGTTTTCAATTAATCTCATGTAAGCAGTCAACTGTGTCATTGAGAGTTACATATCAATCCCTTGAACGATAACATTAAATTTCATGAGTATGTGCAATATAGTTTTTTTTTTTAAGCCGTATGAACCTTTTCCATGTTATTTAATGTCGAATTATATCGTTTTTATAAACAATGGCTAGAGAGGAAGTTCGTTCAAAAAGTTCTAAGCCTCACCCAGAAAGAAGAACCATGGCTGAACATTTTTGTTGCTGACGGCAATGCTACACATTAATTTGCTAAATGAGTAGGCAAAGGAAGCTAGAAAAAAGAAAATATCAGGCAAAAGAAATATACATGGGTCATTCTATCTCAAATCAACTAACGACCACAAGTGACCTTCTCAGAAAGATTTGATAAAATTCACAGGTGTCTCTCGATTAAAATTATTGATGAATCCCAAATATTAGATTTGTATCTTTAATAGTTTTAAAATCAGAACTTTTTGAAATTTCACTGCATTTTTTTGCTTTCAACTTTCAACAAATTTCTGACAGTCATAGCTCTAAGGATGTTGCACGTACAGATTTGAAACTTGGGGACAATAGTTAATATGATTAAGTGTAGATTAGAAAAATATAAGGTGTCTTAGGTGTGTCGTATGTACTTTTATATTTTTATAAACAGAAAATATATTAAATAATTGTTGGACTTGATCCATTTCATTATATGTTGTCATTGTTTATGTTAAGATACGTTTCGTGAGTAGATATGATCGATCAAGAAAACTCGTCGAAGATTGTATGTTTATAAACAGTAATTTGGACTTTGCTAACCAGAAGCTTCTCTGTAGTTAAATGGTATAGCACGTCAAATCAAATGACAGTTTTTCATATAGGAATACTAGTTCGATTCCTATCAGGGAATGAATATTTTTTACAAAATTTCTCGAACATTCAGGGCGGTAACTGTAATTAATACTGTTTAATTAAAAACAGAGCATTTACTTAAATAATTTACATCTATAAAAAAACGTATATATATATATATATATATATATATATATATATATATATATATATATATATATATATATGGATCATTCCATCTCAAATCAACCAACGCCCACAGGTTACCCTCTCAGAAAGATCTGATAAAATTCGCAGGTGTTCCTTGATCAAAATTATTGATGAACCCCAAATATTAGATCTGTATCTTTAATAGTTTTAAAATCAGCATATTACAATTTCACTGCATTTGTTTTTTGTGTTTTTAATCATTTCACCCCATGTAAGGCAATAAACCACGAGGACGCAAAGACTTACTGGTTGTTAGAGAATATGAGAAAAATATACTAAGGAGAGAAGACAATAAAAGAACAAGAATTAAGAAGACAGAAGATAACTATTGACATTGCATTTAAATTTTTCAAGATCAAATTGGACAAAGAAGCAAGAAGCCGGAAGAGAGTTTCAGAAGCGAAAAGTGTGATAGAAGAAACGGTTAGCATAGAACTTACGGTTACATCTAGCCAATTCAACTGTAAAATGATGAGACCTTGCTGCCAATCTGGTATTGTACTGCGCTTAAATTCATAAAGTCTAGGTGTCATAGAGGAAAGTTCATCAGAACAATTACCATAAAAAGTATTTATAGAAAAGGTTCACTAAAGCTACGTTACGGCGGTGGGAAAGAGACTGAAGCCGAGATGCCAGGTGAGAATCAATAATATTGCAGATTCTTTGGATTTTATCAAGAATCTATAAATGCATAGCAAAAAACTAGATCATATGTGGCAGTAATGTTCAAAGTAAGAACGAATGGTAGACTTATGGATAAGATAGATCTGGCCGGTTGTCTCTCTGTACCTTTTTTATAAATACTTTCATGGTAATTGTTCAGATGAGTTCTTCAATATGGTACCTAGACTGTATGAATTTAAGCGCAGAACTAGACTGACTTTGAGATCTCATCAATATACAGTTGATCTGGTTAGATGTAACCGTGACTTCTATGCTAACAGTTTCATTTCTCGCACTTCTCACTTGTGAAATTCCCTTCCGGCTTCATGCTCTCCAGCCAACTTTAATCTGCAAATGTTTAAATGCAATATCAATCGCTATCTATTGTCCTCCTGCTTATTCTTCCCGCTCATTAGTAATGCTTCAGTTCCTAATTCTTTCATGCTCTTTAACACTGTGTCTTAGTGGTTTTACTGCCTTGCATGGGGTGAAATCGATTTTTAAAAAGTGTTGACTTTCACGTCAGAGATTTGAAGCAAAGCAGAGTTCAGTTATGTTTATATATCCATTTGCTTTAGCGAAACAAACAAAACCAAATAGGCATTAAACAAAAGTGACGTCAGTTTATATATATATATATATATATATATATATATATATATATTCATTTACAGTGAAAATCACAAACTAAATACAAAAATTACGGATTCTCTCAGGATTTAGCTCTAGTTTTGTCATATCCATAATCTCGTTAGAGAATAGGTTTTAATTCTTTAGGTAATGGTGATCCATTATTAGAACTCAAAATTATGGAGTAGATCAATTCGTCTTAATATAATTTGACGCTAAACAAAGTGAACAAATCGTTTCGAAAAGCTTACTTGATAGCAAAGTGTTTTCCGAATAAAATGTTTTTAGCTTGCAGAGACTAATATTAACCTGAAATGAGGAAATGGTTGAGAAAATAACTCCTTCAAAGTAAATATTAAATCAACCGTTGCGCCTGGCTCCCGTTTTTATTCCTCTTAAAAGTGAAAGCATTTGAGAAAAACTTAACCGAAAGTGGTTCTGTTCAAAGGTCACAAATTAACAGAGAGCCTCTTCGCTAAACTGACAGATCTTTCAAGTGGCAAGGAGTCAGAATCAGAGACTAACTTGGGGGCCTCTTAGACAGAGGAGTAAAAAGAAAGGCCCCTATCCATTAGTGTATCAGATTCCCCATCCCACGAATATTTAGCCGTAATTTAAAATTTTATGGCCCGATCTTCTGAGCTGAAGTATTTTCATTATACCATAGATCTTTCGACAAGTATCTTCAGCCTTTTCTGACTTTTTATCACAACATAGACTTTTGTCTACACCTTCAACTGCAGGAACAAAAAATTCACTTCGTGCAAGACTCAAACTCGTGTCACACCACAAGAGCTTGCTATGTCGTGTAGCGATGTCTGTATACTTTTTTTTCTCTTAATCTTACTGCTACAGACTCCGTTCTCATTTATTCTACATGACGTTTTGACAACTTCGTAAAAGAAATTCCATATTTTTTTTTGTTTTTTCTAATATGTTTATTTTGGTTGTTTTTCACACAACGTTATGGCTAAGGAGCAATCAGAATTTTAGACCTTTCATTTATTAGCATAACACCCGTCAATAATCACGACTTATTTATGTATGAGTTGCTTCTTCGGCCTAGGATCAGAATGTAGTACTTGTGCTCTCTGTGAAAAATGTTACATGCAGAAAAAATATCCAGAGATGCACATTGCGTTTGATGGAGAATTCATTATTTTACCCCATGTCAATACTTCATTGGGTTATTTAACGCTGCATTTACATGAGGCACCCAGTGAGGATCGAAGTCAGTAGTAACTGTCAACAAAATTCGGTTGCGAAACTACGCTACCCGATTAATAACAGTGTTACTCCACGTCAAGGCACCTAATTCATTGATGAACATAGAAAGTATCAGCGCGCCCACGTTGCTTCCGAATGTGACACATGGTCGAGGTTTAAAGTGGATTTAATGGCAATAACGTGCACTGATTAATAAACCTAAACTGGGATTTGAAATCGTTTCCAGTTTCCGCTCCGATAACTACTACGCTACCCAATTAATAGCAGTGCTAGTAATTATAATATTACTCCTTAGATTTAATATAATTTTATTTCGCCTAAACACTCCCTATAATAATTTTCAATTAAGTAATTGTTTTTACGGTTTATCAACCCTTTGAAAGTTATTTAAAGCCAGAAAATATTTTTATAGTGTATTTTTTTTTTTTACATAATAATTATTTTGTCATACAAAATCTTACTAATTATTTGGGAATATAATGAACCCAACGGGCATTGGAACTCGGCTCTTCAATTAACAATTCCGAGCATTTATACATTATGCTACCTACAAATCAAAGCTTGCACCACCTGGTATTTCCACCCGGTCACCCATCGAGGTACTGATCAGGCTCAACGTTGCTTAAGTTCGGTGATCGTACGGGAACCAATGTTTCAACGTGATATGGCCGTAAGCACAATATTTTTCAAGTTCTTTGGTTCCTATGCTTGGGCATGAGTTTTTTTTATGCCCCACCCCCACCTCTTTCCAAGAGTTCCATCTTTCTCAACTTTAACCCTAACTTATTAAAGAAGCGATCTACACAATTTGACAGTTGACATTTATGATGGATATTCTCCCCTCCAATTTGAAATATATGATTTAAAAATCTGCGACTTATCTAAGGTGACTTGAAACAACTGTCACTACAATCAGCTCTCGGCATTTGTCAGTTTTGTAGCAAAACTTATAGCCATTTCCAGTAAAGACAGGAAAATACATTTATCAAGGTAACACAAAATGGCGATGGCCGTTTCAATAAATTATTTGTGAAAATGCGGCCTTATTCTCTGCAGATTTCAGATAATAAAAAACTACACTACCATCTTGATAGGCGATTGTTTTGTAAGATTCCCAATACCAGGAGATTAATGATATATGCATGCCTGGTGTAATTCATATTTATAGGAATCCAAAAGAATGAAATCCACATTTCAAGGTATAAAAAAATAAATTTAATCCAAATATTTTTTTACAATCTTTGAACTCACATCACGCACGATGATAACGCATCTCTCATGGACGTCGCTTTAAATATTTCTGTCTTCCTTTCCTGGTCTTTAGTGCCATTGGACTCACTTGTGAAATATTCCGGCTTCTTGCTTTCCAGTCAACTTTGATCTTCAAAAATTTAAATGCTATGTCAATCGTTATCGTCTGTCTTTTTAATTTTCCGTTCTTTTATTGTTCTCTCTCCTTATAATGTTTTTTTCTCATATTCTCTCACACTCAGTAACCCCTTGCGTCTTAGTGTCTTTATTACCTTACTTCGGGTGAAATGATTTTTAAAAAAGTAGGATTTCATGGGTTGTAGTTGCTAGCCCGACGTTCAATCGGTTTTGTATTCAGAATAGTCCTTTTCCTTGACTGGTTTCCACCTAAGGGTAAAGAGTTCAGTCTAAACTGCTATTTAACCCATAGCTGGGAGGAAAGAGATGGATTAATACATTTCCCAAAGTGCGAAAGTGAATGCAACGTACTCTGTCAGAATTCAAACGTTGATTCTCCTTTTCGCTCCGATAACCGCTACACTACACGCACATCCTTGCATCAATTCAGCAACGGATGCGAATTCAAATATCGTTGTAGGATGTTTCGTGCTGTTTGCTCTAATGGCCGAACAATGTGTTAACCCAAAATGTTGTGACAGCAATAATATGGTGGATTCAAATGTTTGATAAAATAATTACAAGGAAAATACGTAATTCGCCATATATGCCGGCGTACCAGTCGACTGGGCGAAATACGACGATACCAATTTTTCCAATTTAAATGTCGGTTTCGTGCTATATTCGCCATACAAGACAACCCCCTCCCTCAAATCGTATTTTAAAATATATTGTATTGAATTTATTAAATAAATTCAGTAAGCATTAACTTAGTTTTAATTGAAATTCCAATGAAAAACGATATGGAGATATTGTCAATTAACTACCACGATCTACAATATCTCATGAGTGGGTGCTGTGTTTTCGGTTGGCTATTATGGTAGCCTCAGTGACTGCTCCTTGGAACCGACTCTCAAGAGGATGTTTCTCCGATTACTACAATCTGAACCTGTTCAAGTCTAGGGTTAACCGTTATCTTCTCCTCCTATCCGCACAAAATTGCCTCTTAAAGTAACCTTCTACTTTCAGTGGCTCCCGGGCATTGTACAGAGTGAATCTTACGCTAAAAAAATGAAACGCATGTTGTTGTTTTTAAGATGAAGTTTCATTTATTATGTTTTGAAAGTGAATGGTAGTAATGATATTAAAAAAAAACTGATGCTCACTAGCATTGTCATAGATTGAAACTATTTTATCTTTTGTTTATTTTTCAGTTCCAGTGAAAGAAGAAGTTTAGTGTGGGGTTGAAGACCCTCAATATTATAGTTATCGGGGAAATATCCTCTTGAGAGTCTGTTCCACAGAACAGTGGCTTGTAGGAAGTAGCTGTTTGAGTTGAACTTCTCGCCGATGGAATACGGAGTGAATGTGGGTGGTTTACTACTATGCAATTGTCATGGCGGATCCTAACCGTGAAGGTTGGACCTGGCGGAACCAAGGGACGTAGTTCGTCCGAGCACTTTCCATGGGATTTGCGCTAGAGTGTTGAGAAGCTCGCAACATCCAAGCTGGAGGGTGGAAAATAATTTTACTACAACAAGGACTTGGAGATGCTTTTGAACGCTATCATGATGATGTTGATGTAACTTTACCCAGCAAAAAATGTAAATATTGAACTCATGACAGTAACAATGGCTTGCGAAACCAGCCTGAAGACTATTACTCTACTGTAAAAATACAACTGTATAAAAATAGTTATAAAATAGGCACTATAAAAATTTTCCTCATAAGAGCACACGAGAATTCATCCTTTCGTCTGCTTTTCTTTAAGGAACGTAACGTGAAACACACGCTAGTTAATAACGGTTTTTCGAATTATTTCATAGATAACCAAACTTGACTTTTTCTTTCTAAGGTAGCCAATAGCAACACTGAACATAGAGATAAAAGCAATAACATTAACATTTTCTATAAAAAATCAAATGCACGGTAACTATAAGCAGAAAGAATCTCCCTTAGAAACACTATAAAGAAGTATACAGCTCCAGTCAACAAAAACAAGAAAATTAAATTATCTACTATAAAAAATTTAAAACTGATAACCTAATCGTCAACAACAATAACTCAACTGCAAGATCCAAATTACCAAGAATCAATATTATTTATGAATTCATATGCCCGTTAAAGAACTGTTACATCTCTCTGGCCATAGCTTAATTATGTTTCATTTAAATACACACGGGACCTACCAAACTCCATCTGCAACATACTCGTTAACAATACAAATATAATAGCCTCATCCACGTGTAACAAAAAACTAAAAATAATGGAAGCATTAAAAAAAAGAAAAGGCCAACACTCCTATAACTTTTGCTACATACATTAAAGAAATATATTCAGTTAAAAGTAAAAAATAAAATCATCCTTGATAATGGCTAAAAGAATAGCCGAAAGCGCTTGGACATACGGAACATTCAGACAATTTCTGCATAATTTATGACCAGAAAAAAATTATAAGAACACAAGAAAAAATAAAGAAAAAACTTAACCGCAGTACCTTGTCAGTGATTTTTAACGAAACTTGTATAAAAGAGGAATTGCTACCCAAATATACAATTATATATACAGGGTGTATAAAAATACTTTTACAAACTTTGGGGGTGAGTTCCTCAGACCAAAACAAGGACAAAAGTCCATATAAACATATGTCCACAAATACTTCGTTTTTTAGTTATTAAATTTATGCTAGATGGTGCTGCGTTGCCATGTAGACAAGGTTACATTTGTCGCAACCCTACGATAAACAGCAGCAAAGGTTGGATGACTCAGCTGCCTTCGGTCTGGAAATGCAATCTGATACAGCCGTGCAGCCTTGCGTCCATTACCATTATCCATTACCACTCCCGCAGCCGTATGTAAAAATCATATCTGCCTGCTCACGATATGAATATCCTTCCATTGTTAAACGGAACTCCTCAGTTAACTCACTACTACACATGTTAAACGTTGAAGACATACTAACCACAAATGTACACGAATGGCAAATGTAACCTAGTCTACGTAGCAACACAGCGCCATCTACCGTAAACTTTCTTTAAAATTAATAATTCAGAAAAGAAGGACTTGCGGAAATATGTTTATATGGACTTTTTTCCTTGTTTTGGTCTGAGGAATCCGTCTCCAAAAATGTGTAAAAGTATTTTTGATAAATCTTGTATATATATATATATATATATATGTGTGTGTGTGTATGTGTGTGCGCGCGCGCGTGTGTGAACTGATATATCAAAGATATGATAATGTTCATGGAGTGACGAATAAAATATACCCTAGAGATTTAAAAATGTCGTGTCCGAATAAAACCGAGAATGTTCGGTTCCTTTTTCCGCTCCACATTTGTTTAAAATGGCAATTTTCTGTCTGCAATGGCGGAGATTGATGGCATGTATTGTAAACGGTTGAGTCTGTTTGGCAGAACGAAATAAGAATCCGCCCCTTTTGGAATTCCTTAGCGTTTCTTGCTCACGTCCCCACCAAGCCAATGGCCGCTGCAGCTGCTTACTGCTGTCGTGCGGATGGATATGTTGTCGTCAATCATTGGCAGATATCCCGTGGGTTGGGCGAAGGGTCACACTATGCGGTGTGCGGCCGGTGGTGTCAGAGATATGAATGATGATAGGATCGGTTTTAGACCCACAAGAACCTAACTACCTCCACCCTTACCCGCACTGACATTTGCACGTACGCATACACGCATATATATGCACTCACGTGCACTCACGTATGCACGGAACACAACTATGCCCACGGAAAGTTGTGCACGCATGCGTGCATACATGCAAACACACACACACAGAAGCATATTCATGTTTACTTTTATCAATTTACCCCAAGCAAGGCTATAATGCCACTAAGATGCAAAGGGCTATTGGGTGTCAAAGAAAATGAAAAAGACTTTAGAATGAAACAGGAACCTGATTCTAAAGAACGAAACAATGGATAAACCTCTACACTTGTTCGAAAGACCAAGGAGGAGTGTGAATTTTTTGTTTTTTTTTGTTTTTTGTTTTTGAGATTCCGGTAATGTTTAGACAGAACGGTTTGGTATAAAAAGGCGCATTGTTGAAGGAATGCTGGTGATTGTAATTATTATTGCAAAATTGTTTGGTCTGATGAGACGGGGTTTAATCCCATGAAATAAATTATCACCAATGTATTTCCTAGGACTCCGCTTTCATCATCATTTTATATATATATATATATATATATATATATATATATATATATATATATATATATATATATATATTGTTCCCAAAATAGACTCACTTTTTGACTTCCTATAGCTTCTTAAATATTTTTTTCA